AAAAATATCAGAAAAATCTACTTGAGTACACTAACGAAGTATTTGTACTTCGTTACTTCCCATCTCTGCCCATTACTAAGAGGTGGACTTGTTTTTCTGGCTCAATTTGCATTTTTTCTAAGCCATAAAAAAGCTTTTATTTGGGCCATTTTATAAGCCTGGAACTCAACGCTACTCCAAACATTCTGAATTGAGAAATCTTCCTGGATTTAAAGTGAAACGTCTTCAAACTTGGAAATCAAAGTCCTGTAGTTTTTTTTTTTTTTTACTTTTTTGGAACGACTATGACATGGATGACTGAGAATCTTCACCAGCAAGCAAAATATCACACTGGATGTTCCTTTTTTCACCACAAGGTTCATTCAGCACACAAAAAATAAATCCTTTGTCTGTTATCGTTTAGAAAAACTGAATATAAATGAGGTAAGAATGTCCTCCAGTGAATAAATTAATCGATAAATACCCTTTTTTCAGACAAACTGGTAAAATTACTAAAACAATTATGTATAACTAATGATATAATTTTAATCTGAAAAACTCACACTAAAAGAAAAGGCAATTAGAAGAATTTTATTGATACAATTTCTTTAGCCTTCGGCGCTCAGACCTCAGCAGAAAACATTAGCGCCGAATTTTGTTTTAATAAGCACAAACAGGAGTAAAAACAGGGATATTTCCCCCCAGGCCTGAAACTTTCGGTGGGGTGGACATAAATAGTCAGTCTGTAGACTGCTGGTTAGAGAGACGGTCTGCTGAGCTTTATGGGGAGATCCATTGGACTGCGTGAGCTGATACTAGAGCTTCACTCGGGGACCTGGAAGATGGAAGTCCAGCTGGATAAACACAGGTTGAGAGAACCTGTCCATGATGAGCAAGCATGAAGCGACAGTGGAGAGGAAAAACTCCCCATTGGGAAGAAAGCTCTGGAAGAACCAGGCTCAAGATGGCGGTCTTCAGCGGGACCGGGTGAAATGACACGCTGAGTGCCATAAGAGTCCGGGAGGAATGAAACTCTGATGAAGCTTTAGCTACGATGGTGAAGGAGGGGCTGGAGGGGGGTTGAAACGGGGTCATCTGAATCAAAATCAGATGAACTTTGAAGATGAACTCTGGATGCTGATTGGCTTTCACGGAGGTGTGGTTCAAAGCTGAATAGATGGTCAGTTTATTCAGATCAACTTCTGCCAAGGCTCCATTAAAATATATATCCAGTCTGGAGAATAAGTTCATCTAATTTAACCATAATCCTTTTTCTTTTACAGTCCTTAACACCAACAATCCTCATAATTCCAATTAAATTACTTTATCTACACCAAACATCAGTTCTTTCTATGTCGCTCTACTGCTTTACTGCATTCTATGTGCCATGCTTTAGAAATCCCTTGTCAGGACTTGTTGGTGTCTGGTATATCTCTCATTTGTTCTCAGGTTTCTTTAGATTGGAGCTTGATGTGTGTCGTTCTCAGTTATCTTATTCTACTCCGTGTTGCCAG